TTACAAATCCAATGTATTTGACCTTGTTCGATAGAGTATGTTGGTAGACATGAGTCGAGGCAAGGAGACCACGTACTACTCGACATGTACAGTCGGTTTGTGGCGACAAAAACGATGCAGGGGCAACTACCGTGACATTTATCGAAGACCACTCAGTATATCGTGGCGACCAATGTCACAGTGGGAAAATGATTAAAAAACCAGCGACAGCACATTTACCTCTGGAAATCACGACAAACTGTCCCGTGCTGGGATCTGTGTCAAATAATCGCTGACGCAGTTATTGTTAGTGAGATTTTTTGTGAGATTTTTTATTGATTACTTAATGATGCCACTACATAGATAACAATGTTAAATGTGTTTTGCTGCAAATGTTTCTTATCTTTGCCATGTTTGTCACGTTTGATGGCGTCACATTCTGCCCTGACAATCACGCGATGGAGTTACAGGCTCCGTGTAATCTGGAAACGTCTTTGACACTATGTCCCCGAATTGCCTTGCTGTGGATAATGACTTCAGCTGATGTGCTATCAAAGTCAATAAAAACAAATCACCGCATTACTATATTAGTATATATTCATATCATATGTTGTTGGTTCAGATATGCTCTTGTATATGTTGTTGGTTCAGATTAATGCTCTTTTATATGTTGTTGGTTCAGATATGCTCTTGTATATGTTGTTGGTTCAGATATGCCCTTGTATATGGTGTTGGTAGAGGTATGTTCACAAATAGGTTGTTGTTTTTGGAATCCACATATATAGGCTGTTGATTGATATATGTACCTATATATGTTGGTTCAGATAAGCACGTGTATGTGTTGTTGGTTCAGATATGTTCTTGTATATGGTGTTGGTTCAGATATGCTCTTGTATATGGTATTGGTTCAGATATGCTCTTGTATATGTTGATGGTTCAGATATGCTCTTGTATATGTTGTTGGTTCAGATTTATGTTCTTTTATATGTTATTGGTTCAGATATACTCTTGTATATGTTGTTGGTTCAGATATGCTCTTGTATATGTTGTTGTTTCAGATATGTTCTTGTTTATGGTGTTGGTACAGTTATGTACACAAATAGGTTGTTGTTGTTTTTAATCCACATACATAGGCTGTTGATTGGTATATTTACTATATATGTTGGTTCAGATATGCACGTGCAGATGTTGATGGTTCGGGTTTCAACTGGGGGAGGCTAGTCGTCTAAGGCGCTGCAATTCGCTGTAAGTTGCGTCACTTGGGCACGCCAGAAACCTATGAGTGTGGGTTCGAATCCCCTTCGCCCCGATAATGTTTCTAGATTTTGTGAGCTCGTGGGTTTCACCAAAGTGGTAACCATCTGAGACATGCATCACTTCGGACTTTCTTTCCACATTAAGCTGATACGAGGTGATCTAACTGGAATATTGTTAAAAACGGCGTTAAACACAACTCGCTCACTCATATTGCAAGTATAAACTATTACCATAGTAAGATATCGTCTAACTGTACACTGCCGCGCCAAGAATACCCCATTACGTAATACATACAACCTTAAATTACTACACTTGATACGGATCACCCACAACCAGCCACGCAAGTGGGAACATGTTCTTTAAACAAACATTAATCAGCTTTATGGTACTTGGCTCTGGGCCAGAATTTAACAAACAGCACACTTTGTACGTCATAATTTAAACGTTTACTTTACATAAATGATAGAGCAATAAACTTAGCGATACGGAGTTAATTTAAGAGCCATTTTGATACACCTGGCTTTGTGATTTGGTCTCTGCAAGATAACGTCAGGTAGCCGTTCCTGATAAGGTTATTTCTGGTAATACAAAGTAGACATTTGTTTCATATTAATATAATAGTGGTACCAGTTTAGAAGCAATCTGTTGTTGTAATTAAGCCATGGATCACAGTGTATTACATGGTATAAACCAAGGACATTATCGTTTGCACATTTACGGGTGATGGTGATGCAGACCGAATTACTTTAGTTTCCTTAGGAGTTCGTTCCGAAGACGTCATGCAATGGTCGTATACTTATTAAGTTGGGGTATTAAATTCAAGTTGATGCACGTTTAAATCGTGTAAAATCATTATTTGCTCTTATTGTATGTACGTTGATGTAGCGTTTGTTGGTGATGTACGTTTGCTATGACAACGGAGTATTATTTTACATTACATTCCTCCTTGGGGGCACACGTGCAATTCGCTGTGAGACTTGCGTCCCCTTGAGAACGCCAGGAACCAGTGACTGTGGGTTCGAATCCCGGTTCAACCTGATATGATTTTAGGTTTGTCAGCACCCGTGCTCAAGTGTTTCACCAAAGCGATAAACGTCTGAAACCTGTATCTCGTCGGGCTTTCCCCATACATTAAGCTGAGACGCCCTGAACTTGAATACTGTTAAAAGCGGCGTTAAACCCCACTCACTCACTAACTCAGAGAAATAAAACTGTGGGTCGTTCCTGAAATTTCACAAATTGTGGGACGTTCAGGGGAACTGATTATTAGGGAAGCACATCTTCATGCATAACGAACACAGCTACGCCCTATGTTCAAATTTCAATTTATAGCAACAAGTCTCAAAATATCAAAATCTTCAAGAGTTTTTAATCGCATCGGGAACTATAACTGTTAGAGATTTTAGGTTTTAGTAGAATAGAGGTTTTAGCAGAGATTTCTTATGACCACGAAAAGAGCATGTAGCTTTGGATTCGGTTTGAATGGTTTTAACTTTTAACACATTTTGATCTCTGATCTAAAAGCCGTAAAACATCTGCTGTCTGAGACAGGATTTCACTCCAGGGAGGTTTTATTTAAGATGGGAATATATTTGGGAAGCTAGACCCCCAAAGTCGGTTAATTGGGATCTGTTGAGGAACTTAAACCGTTTTAACACGAATAACAAAAGATGTTGACACTTATCCAAACACATAGTTCTTTTTAATTGAGAGGTTATAAATGAAAACATATTGGACTTTGAAGCGTTTTCAACGTATAAAACACAGACATGAGGTTAAATATCACATACGATACCTATTTATATTTCAAGATCACTAAAGCATTGTAACGCACAGTCGAGCGTAACATAAACATTTCATCGGAACTATTAAACTGTAATAGTGATGGTTTTATAATGAAGGAATAAAGTATTAGCCCTTTACCACAGCCATTGGATCCCAGTGCAGTCTGTTACGCTGGAAATAATGCATAAACCAATTGGTTCACATGCGTGCAGAAGGGCGGCTGGCTTTCACGTGACACGTTAGTCTTTTCCAAGTTTTCGGTCTCTTATTTGCAGGAGTTACTGCAAAGCATCGTGTTTAATAATCTGTAAAACGTTAAGTTCCATAATCATCACCTCCGTGTCACATTGTCTTTGAATGTGATGGGAAGAGGGCCGAGAGGAGGGATGAGCAGTTATAAATAACCATGCTGTGTTGAACATCTAATACCTTCATCACTTTCCTCCCACATGAAGCTGACACGTGATGTAAATAAATACCAGAAACAAATCATTTCTATATTCATAAGAAATGATATAACTTTAATATTGTTAAATGCGGAGTTAAACTAAACTCACTCACTCACTCTCGCCATTATAATTATTACCATGAGTGCAACTGAGTCACCATGGTTAATTGGGATCATTATTAACTAACAGTTTGATACATGTGTGTATGATTAATATTAATTAGAAGACAAAGTGGATTTTGAGGGTCAAATTGCTTGATCCTCCCATTATATAGCGGACCTTTCGTTCATCAAAGCGATCTTAGCGCCAATGCTATAGTCTAACGATTCTGGGGTAAGATTGCTTTATGGGAGGGACATGCGACGGTATATGATGTCTTTATATCCTTCTTTTTTTTATAAGTGCATTTTACTGTCACGTTTGATATAACATGCACATATGTACATTATGTTGATATGCACATATGTGCATTATCTTGAAAGTTTCAAATGGGTGTGTATTATGAGGCAACGTCGTGTAAACAACCCAATCTCGTTAATAACAATATATTTGAAAAAGCCTTAGGTGTTTCTTCCCACGGGGATAATTGCTTGTGTGTGGACTCACTTCTTATCTTGTAATTGTTCAAAGTGATTTAACATGCTGTTGTAGCAGCTGGAATGTTTCAGAGGTTTCTTATGTCCATAGACCTATATCGGAACAATTCAACCATGCAGTGCAGCCCGAAAACTGTGTATAACCATTGGTAGTCTTATAGGTATCAAGTACACGTAACGGACTCCCGTGAAAGTTCCGGGTTAAAACTGGTCTTCAGCAACCCATGCTGGTCGTAAGAGGCGACGTACGGTATCGGGTGGTCAGACGATGCTCATGATGTCAATCACTGGGTTGTCTGTCCAGACTCGATTATTTACAGACCGCCGTTATATAGCTGGAATATTGCTGAGTGCGGTGTTAAACAACAAACAAACAAACGTAACGGCGAAATCTCCAGTCCTATATTGGCATATATGACGTTTCCTCTGTATAATTATGGAGGGGGTGCATGGATGGCCCAGTCGTCTTAGGCGCCGGGATTCGCTGTACAGAGTTGCGTCCCTAGGTTTGTCAGCACCATACCCGTGCTCGTGGGTTTCACCGAAGTGATAAACGTCCGAGACCTGCATCTCTTCGGGCTTTCCTCCCACATTAAGCTGACACACCTCGATATAACTGCAATACTGTTAAAAGCGGCGTTAAACCCAACTCACTCACTCACATGTATATATGTTAAAATTGTTTTGAGGCAGTTGTTCTTAAGCCCATAGACCTATCTCGGAATAGTATTTATGTCTAGGGTATCATTGTTATTTGACAGTGATTCATAAACACATGCTCATGATATAGTAGGAATCGTACAATCGAGTCTGCTTTCAGCACACATTATTTTATGAATATGAAAACTGTTTTGTCGCTGTTATTTACAAGTTCATACCTTTCCACAGCCTCATATTGCGAGAATGTACAATACATGTATACTGTGTGTTACAGAGAGGTACCCGGCCCCAAGTCTGAAGGAAATACAAAAGACATGCGGCATCCGCCCGTCCAATTTGACCCGTGGCTACAGAGTGGTGGGAGGGAGAGAAGCACACAGACTCAGCTGGCCTTGGCAAGTGAGTCACGACTGAGTGAGTGAGTGAGTGAAGGTTTCACGCCGCTTTTAACAATATTCCGGTCACATCACGGCGTGGCGTTGTAACGTGCGGAGATACTTAGAAACTAGGCATGAAGAAACACACCTCATGCACGGCTCCAGTTTATGTTTCGATCAACAGTTATTCGCTGTGCAGAGTTGCGTCCCTTGGACACGCCAGGAACCTATGATTGTGGGTTCGAATCCCGGTTCGCCCCGATTATGTTTCTAGGTTTGTCAGCACCATACCCGTGCTCGTGGGTTTCACCGAAGTGGTAAACGTCTGAGACCTGCATCACTTCAGGCTTTCTTCACACATTAAGCTGACACGCCGTGATATAACTGGAATACTGTAAAAGCGGCGTAAAACCCAACTCACTCACTCATGATCACTCATTCTTCAGGGAAGTTGTGTCAACCACAACATTCTGTGTTGACAATTCGGACCCGTTAAAGTAACCTCTTATACCCGTGATTTAATTCATGACAATTTATGACCGAAAATTTAATTTCACGAAGCGTTTTATATATCAGGAATATTAGAAAATTTGTACTTTCTGCATGCAAACACCGTACTATACCTTCATGCAGATGACCGTTCTAATATATTTAAGTTGTAGGATTAGTGGGAAATGTTTTTATCCATGCAATAATAAATTTCGGATATGACGAACCAGTGTGCACTTTGAAGTTCGTAATATCCGCAGTTAAGAATTCGATAAAACAGCTGGCCTTGTTTTGTCACTTCATACCCTGGATACCACACAACTGGGAAGTACTTTATATTCACTACGATACCTAACCAAACGGGTAAGGAGGTCACGCTGTTCTTTTTATAAAATAGACGCACATCTCACAATAACTATATAACAAATTACTTTCTCCAGCTTTGTGTGCGTAACTGATCATCTTAGATATAAAAACTTAAATCAATCTCTAAATAAGGTTCCGACGCCATTTGTGGGCTGTGAGGATTCTGGCCAAGGACGCACATTGAAACACGTGTGGATCAGCCCGGTATACAGTGAACATTCAAGGGTATATGGTCTCTGGTTCGAGTAACATGTGTACCTTATCCTGGTTTGTGTAAATAGCAATGGAGAGGGGTCATTAACCACTGCGAGGTCACGGGGACCAGGCCTTTAGCGCAAAAAGGCGGACGAATAACAACTGCTGACATTTCACACGATCTAAAGAAGCACACATCAACATTGTGTGAAGACAGTTAGAGAATGTAAAATGTTCAGTTTTTCGTGGATATTCGTAACCCGATTCCATTCATTGGGAAGATAGAAAGATAGATAGATAGATAGATAGATAGGTAGGTAGACAGATAGATAGATAGATGGATAGATAGATAGATAGATAGATAGATAGATAGATAGATAGATAGATAGATAGGTAGGTAGACAGAACACAACACATAACACAAGGTACAGTACATGGAACATATATAACATTCAACCACAAACACAACACTTAAGCAACATAAATATGACATACCATACAGCAATCAAGTCAACATGTAACACAACATTCAGCACATAATCATATTATATAGCATTCAACACAACACGTAACACAAGGAACAGTACATGGAATATATTATATAGCATTCAACACAACACGTAACATAACATTCAGCACATGATCATATTATATAGCATTCAACACAACACGTAACACAACATTCAGCACATGATCATATCATATAGCATTCAACACAACACGGAGCACAACATAAAGTACATGGAACATATCATATAGCATTCAACACAACACGTAACACAAAATTCACGTGGAACATAAAAAGCATTGGACACAACACATAACACGAGGTACAGTACATGGAACATATTATATAGCATTCAACACAACACGTAACATAACATTCAGCACATGATCATATTATATAGCATTCAACACAACACGTAACACAACATTCAGCACATGATCATATCATATAGCATTCAACACAACACGGAGCACAACATAAAGTACATGGAACATATCATATAGCATTCAACACAACACGTCACACAAAATTCACGTGGAACATAAAAAGCATTGGAAACAACACATAACACGAGGTACAGTACATGGAACATATTATATAGCATTCAACACAACACGTAACATAACATTCAGCACATGATCATATTATATAGCATTCAACACAACACGTAACACAACATTCAGCACATGATCATATCATATAGCATTCAACACAACACGGAACACAACATAAAGTACATGGAACATATTATATAGCATTCAACACAACACGTAACACAAGGTACAGTACATGGAACATATTATATAGCATTCAACACAACACGTAACATAACATTCAACACATGATCATATTATATAGCATTCAACACAACACGTAACACAACATTCAGCACATGATCAAATCATATAGCATTCAACGCAACACGGAACACAACATAAAGTACATGGAACATATTATATAGCATTCAACACAACACGTAACAGCACATAATCATATTATATAGCATTCGAAACAACACGTAACACAACATTCAGCACATAATCATGTTATTTCGCATTCAAAACAACACGTAACACAGTACACACTCAACAAAACACCAGTACACTCGTTCACCCTGCGTCTTTACACTGTATACAATGAAATCCTTACTTTTCCTATTTGCAGACACCGAATCTAAATGATAGAAGTTAATGTTGCTCTATATATCACACAGGGTCGTGGGTCTTTACTGGTGGCTCTAATCGCAAGGAAAGGGCGTCTTTACCAGGTTTTATCATACATTTTCCACATCAACGACACAACGAGTGACCAAATAACCGTTTACAGTGCACATAACTCGCGATATTCTATCGCCCATAATAGAACAAACGAATGTGTGGGGCCTGAATAGCATTTATTTTTTTACAATTTATAGGCAAAATCAGTCGCGGGGATATGATAATGACTCCATCGTTAAATACTAATTCCCTACGGAAACATAACAGACACTTTAAAAATCGCCAATTATGATTCTCCGAGAGAAGAAAGGCAATACTTAGACAATGCAACCTAGACACGTGTTTCGCATGAATGTGCCCTACGTATTATAAGAAGATATTTAAATAATGTGAATAAGTACAACAAATGAAAACAGCCAGTGCAAACCGCTAGTAACCACCACCCCTGGTCGGCGTGTATAATGAGCTATGTTAAAGCATGCTAGATGGCTTCTTAAAGCCTTGGGGTAGCTGTATCAAACGTCGCGGGCCGTTGATCATTTGAAGGCCTGCTAACGCAGTTATTTCCTGGCGAGGATGTTCGGGAAGTAGTCGCGAGACTTGAAAAGATTCGTGGCTTAACAACATGGCAGCCATAAGATTGTGACGCGTCTCATCACCGCTTCGCGGTGTATTAACCCTGTATTAAACTGTCATTAACACGTGAAAAGGCGAATTTTCAACACATTATGACTGAAGAGCGCAGACAGATAAAGTTCAAATTTCCGATTACCTGAACATAATGATTACAGACGTAATCCATCTTGTTCTCAAATTATAATCCTTAAAAAACAAGGTTGTCTGAAACATCTATTTTAACAATAGAAGTGTCAGACAACCTTGGTTTTTTTACTGTTTACTTTTTTCTATCACTGAAACGCACTCTCCCCCGGAAAGAATAAAAAAATGTTTCGTTGAGCTAGGAACAAAATACACTTTTCTTTTTACGAATTCAAATAATAACACGTCTTCTTATAGCTTTCGTTACGCAAAAAGTAAGCTTTGTTAAATGAAATGAATAATGCTTTCTTTTCAAAGCTTATTGTCAGCATCATACACGTGCTCGTGGGTTTCACCAAGTGGTAAACACCTGCATCACCGCGAGCTTTCACACCACATCAAGCTGATCATGACACGCCGTTATATAACTGAAATACTGTTAAAAGCGGCGTTAAGCCCAACTCACTCACTCTGATTAGTCACTCGTGTTTAATTGTGAGGTGGCTATAGTTTAAACGTTATAAAACTTAGCAATTTCGATGAAATTATCTGAATTACCACTGCTGAAGTTTAGAGTTGGCTTTGGCAAACCCATTTCCGATATTGAATGCTTTCAGGCCAGATATTTACACATAACATCACTAACATCTGATCCCAAGACAACATAGTTAATAGCAGTGGTGCAACAACTATTTATTTGACGTTTCCGTGTATCTTTAGTATCGCAACAAACACATTAACCAGAAATTCCTTGTTTTAGTCACATGGTGCGTACCGGATTCATAGATGTTAGTTGCATCATACCAGCAGTACTCTCAGGCGTGTTGTTGATGTCGGTTGCATAACCCTTTTCTGTTTTCTATTGGGATAAACATCGCCTAGGCCGTCACACAACCCCGTCCTGTATATATTTAATGATACTACGTCAGTGTAAACCTTGAAAGTTATAAACAAGTCATGTTGTTCATCAAAGAAATCGTGTCTATAGTTATAACAGACACCAGACGTCCAGATTTAAGCATAAAAGTCCCCCAGATGAGTTGAGGCATAAAACAGTACGAAAATAGCTCACAGAGTCTCCACGTGCAACATCATGTTTAAGATAACTCTTCACTACCTTTCAAAAGATACGTCCCAAGTCTCGATTGCGCCCGGGTACAAACAAGGTGAGGTGCATAAGTATACGTATTAAAACTCCCTCGAGAATCTTGACGTCAATTAATTAACATGATTAACAATTAATATAATTTTATTAGTTGTGTAATGGCCCCCACTTAACTGAAATCCATGTAAGGTTATGCCGTGGCCTGTTTGTCAGGCGTCCGCCATAAGTCCTGCGTTATCCGTCGTCCTTCATAAACATCTTCTGCTGGAAACCACTGGACCAATGACCCTGAGTCTTATCACACTTGTTCCCCACATGATGACATCCCGATTTGTTGAAGAGGTTCGAATCCAGCTTACAATATGCTCCCCAATGCATCCATATTTGACAAATTGATTTATGGCCATTAAAGGGACATTTATGTTTAAAATTTAATTAAATATGGCACATGTGTAACGAGTAAGTAGGAGCAAAATATATGTTCCGTTGTGTGGGATATTTAATATTTTTAACTTTTTTCTGTTTCTTTTAAAAAACGTTTGGTTCAAATCAGTATATGATGGTACGTATTTTCACATAAAGTATCATGACATGTAATCTACTTATCAGATGCAGTTTATATACCTATCCGGCAGACAGCCATGCTTTTTGAGTCATCATTAACTAAGTGTGAAGCTAACTCTTTATAGCACATTAGTGGAAATTGTTCATGCTCAAAAAGGGGCAGTCGGGTAGCCTAGTGGTTAAAGCGTTAGCTCGTCAACCCGAGCGGGCCCTGCTTATGATGCTGATGGGAGCCACCCATGTCCACATTGATAGAAGTTTTGGTAGCTGCATCAGACGGGCCAAGAACAGGCAGACCCAGGGTAACTTCGCCCAATGAAGACCTGTACTTGTGTACTTTGCATCTCCGGAATTAATTCCTGACAGTGACGCCATCAGCGACGAATGCCTGTAGGCATATGACTAATCATTAGAAAGAGGCCAAGGCAAATGAATGAGGGCTTACAGACCTAACAGAGGACAGTTATTGACAGCGCAACATCGTCGTCAGAGATTGAGATTGGCCCGGAATGTATGTCGTCGGCAGCGACGTGACTGGCAGAGGGTCCGGGCCTACTGACCAGCATTTATGTTTATGGTCACTCAAATACGAGACTGAGAATATATATTAATGATTATGAGCTGTTGGTTACATGATAGATGACTGCTAAAGAGGACATTTCTCGTTCCAGGTTGCCATCATGACAAGATACGAAGAACCGTATTGTGGCGGAACCCTCATAGCGCCATCTTGGGTCCTGACAGCCGCGCACTGTATCCGGAAGAAAGGCAGAAAGCGAAGAGTCCTTGTGCGTATGGGTGAACACGACTTCCAATTATACGAAGGAACAGAAGTGACGCAGAAACCGAACAAAGACTTCCCCCATCCAAAATTTGACTACTCAACAATATCAAACGACATTGGCCTCATAAAACTGAAAAAGCCAGTACACAGGATAGCTGGACTGGGTTTTGCTTGTCTTCCCGAGAAAGACGAAGTGATTCCTCCCAAAACCCTTTGTTATACTGTGGGATGGGGAAAAAGGAGAAATACCCATCTGTTTGGGGCAATTGCTTTACAGGAGGCTAAAGTGCCTGTAGTGGACGCCAACAGGTGCCAAAGCGTCTTTGACTATGAGATCACAGACACACAGGTTTGCGCAGGGTATTCACGCGGCGGCGTGGACTCGTGCGCAGGGGATAGTGGTGGACCTCTCTTGTGCGCACACGAGGTCAACAATACCTCCCGCTGGTTTGTGTATGGGATTACTAGCTATGGCGAGGGGTGCGGACGCAAAGGGAAATTTGGTATTTATACAAAAGTTCCTAGTTTTGTGGACTGGATTGAACGAGTCGTTAACTCACATTAAACGTTGATAATTCGTATGGATTAATCTTTACCATGAAACAGACGGGGTCTCAAGGCCCTTGGTTGCAGATGTATGCTCAGGGTTGACGATGAGTGACGTTCTATGAATGACAGAGACATCGGATATGTGAGTGAGATGGCGACATGGCTTCTATATCGAAGCTGAAAAATACTCGCCCGCGTACAGCGCCCTAATCATGACATCATAACGTGGTCAATAGGCCAGAACCGGATGCGTCTCTGGATGACTGTTCACGAAAATGTGAAAAAGGCCTCGATATCATTTCCATAAACGACGATGTTTCCAACGTGACGTCAAATATTTGATAACGTTAGACCCTCCATGCCATTAGCCCTGTGTATAGTCAGGACCATTAACGACGATGTTTCCAACGTGACGTCAAATATATGATTACGTTAGACCATCCATGCCATTGGCGCTGTGTATAGTCAGGATCTCGGCCATAACACGGGCAGTCAATTCTGAAAGTTCATTTCTGCGACGTCACGCCAACATGGCGATCAAGCGACTTTGGCGTGGATTCCTAATTTAACAGAATACCATTGAATTCTCTGACATTTTTACATTTCATTTTTTTTTACGATTACAAATTAACGTTTGGTTGAAGTTGTGTTATTTATTTCTCATATAACATCCATCAGTTATCCACTATTATGTCATATTATTTGTATACAATTTTCCCTAAACATACTGAACGTCCCATAGTTGTACATGGTTATTTGAGAGACTCAAATATACGAGGGAAATGCTCTTAATGTTATGTCTAGCTTAAAATCAAGATAACATTGATTTTTGTCTGCATTTAATTCTACGGGTTTTCTTCAATTGAATGAGAGAGATCGTGTCTATTCGCTAAATCATTGTGTTTAATGATCAGTTTACTCTAATTTTAAATATCATACTTATTACACCGAGAGGGTCCTCTGATCGTGGTTGCGAATTCAAGATTTGCTTTGATTATTATACATTGTATTTCATCATTATTTCCGCGCACCTGAGTTGATCAAAAGTCTAAACGTCTCAATGAAATACTAGCCTATTCATTCACACATTTGTTGTACCAATTTCTCTTCACAATTTCCCAGCTAATTGGAGAAAGTCTTTGTGCGACCAATGCCTAAGGTTTAAATTCGCAACTGTGCGATTAAAGACGATATGTAAAGTTTAATTTATGTTCATATTTTGTGTTTAAACGTAAATCATACCATGTTTATCATGTGTTTTATGTGATATTTATGGCCCTTGGCATTTACTCTGTGTATGATTTGGCAGAGACTTAAGGCGGGTCCAGTGCTTAAAATGAAATAAATGATACCAATCTACATGATGTACTGTTATTTTGTTGAAAGATTATTCAGCCTGAGTTATTTCATGCAGTGTATGTAGATGCGATATACAATCTGAGGCTGTGTTGTTTCGAACGTCATTCTGAGGTATTACCTTATCAGGTGAGGTGGGGTGAAATGGGGTTTAACGTCGCGTCCAAGATTATTGCACTTATATGCGTGTGTGGCTGCTTGTACTAGTCCGGACTGATGCCGATTTATAGTGCTAGCCCACTGAGATACCATGCCGCGGTTTAACATGAATACCACACTCAGACACAGTATACTGACTCCGAGCCGACCAGTCCTTGTTTTAGCCCCTTAATGCCGAGCGCCAGACAGGGTAACAACAAGTACCATCTTTTAAAGTCTTTTGGTATGACGCGGCCGGGGATCGAACCCCGGACCTTCCGCTCTCCGGGCGGACGCTCTACCACTAGACCACGGAGGCGGTCCTATTACCTTATCAAATCTTGGGTGTGGTTATAACCACTGTTTGCTCAACAAGAACATGCACCTGGGGTACCGTTTTTTTATCTGATATAAATACTCTGAGCGGTTTAAAATGTAGTCGAGATTTCTTGGTAACCGTGTGTCTGATAGATACACCGTTATGTATACTACTCAACTTTTGATAGAGATAATCAGATATGTCATTCTGTTTAAAAATACAGTGACATATGGGATTGAATCTTATTAATGTATCATGAAAAGATACAAATAACCCAATCTAAAGCGAGGTAGTATAATGTTATAGGATATATCACAACCGGAATAATATATTCAGGCGGTGGGGTAGCCTGGTGGTTAAAGCGTGTTTCACGCCGAAGACCCAGGTTCTATTACCCACATGGTAAAATGTGTGAAGCGCATTTCTGGTGTCCCCCGCCGTGATATTCCTGGAATATTGCTAAAAGCGGCGTAAAACCAAACACACTCACCCACTCACCCATGCTCAAACATTTCTGGTGTGCAATATTGCTACAAGCGGTGTAAAACCATATTCACTCAGTTATATTTATCGCATTTTATTCTCTGGCTTTATATAGTCTATGTCGCGGAAACCAATAATCGTTGGTTCGAGTCACGGTTCGTCCTGACCATATTTCTGGTGCTTGTGTCTGTCACCAAACTGGTAAACGTATGAGACCTGTATCACATCAAGCTGATATAACTGAAATATTGTTCAAAGCGGCGTAGTATGATATGTGCAACGTGAATTGTATAATTCATATCTAGTTGCGCTCAAATACGCCCGAGTGCTGATACACAAACCACAGCCGCACCAGATTTGCACTACTATTATGTCGTGTTGTTTGCATATTATTTATTATTATTTTGTGCAATGGAAACATGTGAAGTCTGATCACTTCTACACAAGTTGCACTATCCACATTGCTGCGCCATATAAAGTCTGATCACTTCTACACAAGATGCAATATACGCATTGCTGCAGCATATACAGTCTGATCACTTCTACACAAGATGAAATATACACATTGCTGCACCATATAAAGTCTGATCACTTCTACACAAGATGCAATATACGCATTGCTGCAGCATATACAGTCTGATCACTTCTACACAAGATGAAATATACACATTGCTGCACCATATAAAGTCTGATCACTTCTACACAAGATGCAATAAACGCATTGCTGCAGCATATACAGTCTGATCACTTCTACACAAAATGCAATATACACATTGCTGCAGCATATAAAGTCTGATCACTTCTACACAAAATGCAATATACACATTGCTGCAGCATATACAGTCTGATCACTTCTACACAAGATGAAATATACACATTGCTGCACCATATAAAGTCTGATCACTTCTACACAAGATGCAATATACGCATTGCTGCAGCATATACAGTCTGATCACTTCTACACAAAATGCAATATACACATTGCTGCAGCATATAAAGTCTGATCACTTCTACACAAGTTGCACTATCCACATTGCTGCACTATATAAAGTCTGATCACTTCTACACAAGATGCAATATACACATTGCTGAAGCATATAAAGTCTGATCACTTCTACACAAGATGCAATATACACATTGCTGCACCATATAAAGTCTGATCACTTCTAAACAAGATGCAATATACACATTGCTGCACCATATAAAGTCTGATCACTTCGAAACAAAATGCAATATACACATTGCTGCAGCATATAAAGTCTGATCACTTCTACACAAGATGCAATATACACATTGCTGCACCATATAAAGTCTGATCACTTCTACACAAAATGCAATATACACATTGCTGCACCATATAAAGTCTGATTACTTCTAAACAAGATGCAATATACACATTGCTGCAGCATATAAAGTCTGATCACTTCTACACAAGATGCAGTATACGCATTGCTGCAGCATATAAACTCTGATCACTTCTACACAAAATGCAATATTCACATTGCTGCACCATATAAAGTCTGATCACTTCTACACAAGATGCAGTATACACATTGCTGCACCATATAAAGTCTGATCACTTCTACACAAAATGCAATATACACATTGCTGCACCATATAAAGTCTGATCACTTCTACACAAGATGCAATATACACATTGCTGCAGCATATAGAGTCTGATTACTTCTACACAAGATGCAATATACACATTGCTGCAGCATATAAAGTCTGATCACTTCTACACAAGATGCAATATACACATTGCTGCAGCATATTAAGTCTGGTCACTTCTACACAAGATGCAGTATACACATTGCTGCACCATATAAAGTCTGATCACTTCTACACAAGATGCAATATACACATTGCTGCAGCATATAAAGTCTGATCACTTCTACACAAGATGAAATATACACATTGCTGCACCATATAAAGTCTGATCACTTCTACACAAGATGCAATATACACATTGCTGCAGCATATACAGTCTGATCACTTCTACACAAAATGCAATATACACATTGCTGCAGCATATAAAGTCTGATCACTTCTACACAAGATGCAATATACACATTGCTGCACTATATAAAGTCTGATTACTTCTACACAAGATGCAATATACACATTGCTGCAGCATATAATGTCTGATCACTTCTACACAAGATGCAATATACACATTGCTGCACCATATAAAGTCTGATCACTTCTACACAAGATGCAATATACACATTGCTGCAGCATATAAAGTCTGATCACTTCTACACAAGATGCAATATACACATTGCTGCAGCATATAAAGTCTGATCACTTCTACACAAGTTGCACTATCCACATTGCTGCACTATATAAAGTCTGATCACTTCTAAACAAGATGCAATATACACATTGCTGCACCATATAAAGTCTGATCACTTCTACACAAAATGCAATATACACATTGCTGCAGCATATAAAGTCTGATCACTTCTACACAAGATGCAATATACACATTGCTGCAGCATACAGAGTCTGATTACTTCTACACAAGATGCAATATACACATTGCTGAAGCATATAAAGTCTGATCACTTCTACACAAGATGCAATATACACATTGCTGCACCATATAAAGTCTGATCACTTCTAAACAAGATGCAATATACACATTGCTGCAGCATATAAAGTCTGATCACTTCTACACAAGATGCAATATACACATTGCTGCACCATATAAAGTCTGATCACTTCTACACAAAATGCAATATACGCATTGCTGCACCATATAAAGTCTGATCACTTCTACACCAGATGCAATATACACATTGCTGCACCATATAAAGTCTGATCACTTCTACACAAAATGCAATATACACATTGCTGCACCATATAAATTCTGATCACTTCTACACAAGATGCAATATACACATTGCTGCACCATATAAAGTCTGATCACTTCTACACAAGATGCAGTATACACATTGCTGCAGCATATAAAGTCTAATCACTTCTACACAAGATGCAGTATACACATTGCTGCAGCATATAAAGTCTAATCACTTCTACACAAGATGCAATATACACATTGCTACAGCATATAACGTCTTATCACTTCTACACCAGATGCAATATACACATTGCTGCAGCATATAAAGTCTGATCACTTCTACACAAGATGCAATATACACATTGCTGCAGCATATAAAGTCTGATCACTTCTACACAAGATGCAATATACGCATTGCTGCACCATATACAGTCTGATCACTTCTACACAAAATGCAATATACACATTGCTGCAGCATATAAAGTCTGATCACTTCTACACAAGTTGCACTATCCACATTGCTGCACTATATAAAGTCTGATCACTTCTACACAAGATGCAATATACACATTGCTGAAGCATATAAAATCTGATCACTTCTACACAAGATGCAATATACACATTGCTGCACCATATAAAGTCTGATCACTTCTAAACAAGATGCAATATACACATTGCTGCAGCATATAAAGTCTGATCACTTCTACACAAGATGCAATATACACATTGCTGCACCATATAAAGTCTGATCACTTCTACACAAGATGCAATATACACATTGCTGCACCATATAAAGTCTGATCACTTCTACACAAGATGCAATATACACATTGCTGCACCATATAAAGTCTGATCACTTCGAAACAAGATGCAATATACACATTGCTGCACCATATAAAGTCTGATTACTTCTACACAAGATGCAATATACACATTGCTGCAGCATATTAAGTCTGGTCACTTCTACACAAGATGCAATATACACATTGCTGCACCATATAAAGTCTGATCACTTCTACACAAGATGCAATATACACATTGCTGCAGCATATAAAGTCTGATCACTTCTACACAAGATGAAATATACACATTGCTGCAGCATATAAAGTCTGATCACTTCTACACAAGATGCAATATACACATTGCTGCACCATATAAAGTCTGATCACTTCTAAACAAGATGCAATATACACATTGCTGCACCATATAAAGTCTGATCACTTCTACACAAAATGCAATATACACATTGCTGCAGCATAT